GATAAAACAGGAGGACAGAATTATGGATTAGTTTCTTCTAAAAGCAGTTGATGCCTTTGGGAAAATTTTCATGACAGGAACATGCACTTAGTTAAAGTCCAGGACAACCATGGCAGAATCGCATGAGTCACCTGATGCATTTGTGGATGCTTCAGCTAACGCAGTATTTGTAATAATGTAATATCTGATTCACCTGTCAGGCTAAGAGAGTCTTCCCAGAAAGTACATCTCAAGTGAGGAAACCATGTCTATGCTCTTCCTACAGACAAATACACTTCAGGATCCTATAATGCACCAACTCCAAGGAAGAGAAATCCACAGGCACAAACATTCTCCAAGACTAAAACAACCATTCAGGTAACTGCTTGATAGAGATTTTGACCGCCTGGTCTCTCCCCACCTAGAAACCAGAATTTCATAGTAACAACTCCCCCAACCAAATCCCAAAAAGATCCTATGCAATGCTGAGCAGTCTGAAAGAACAGTTAGGAGTTGTATGGATTTGCAGACAATAATTCCTAATTTTGTACAGTGTTACTGATCTGAAGGCAAAAGTTGTACTTGCCTTTACAATGAGGAGCTACAGGAGGGGGTTTGGCTTGTAGCACTAGACAAAGCTCAGCAGAGACACTGCATGAGCGTGGTCTATTTGTCTCTCTTTGTCTGCTTATGTAGCATCTCCAAAAGCCAAACACTCATCAGCCACGGTCCTAATTCATGAAAGGAATCACTCTAGTAAACATTCACAGAATGCCCTGAGGGCCTAAAATTAATAGATTTTACAGCTGAGCAGAAAGCAGAGATGACAACTTGACCTTGCCTCTTGTGTCGACGGTTTACTGCTTAAACTGCTTCTGAAAGAGCGTATAGTTTTGCCATAGGAAATTATGCACAAGGTGTTCTGTGTTTGTATTTTGACAACAGCACCGAAAAGACATGGAAGTGAACCACAAACGAGAAGGGTATGAAGACAGGAGGGAGATGAAGAAAGTACCTGAATTCACAAGAACAACCTAAATTGCAGAAAGATAGGGGAATTCTCAAGAGGAGAAACCAAACACGATAAGAATGCAAATTCCAAAAATAACACGTAGGAAGTACACTGTAACACTTCAAAAGTGATTAAATTTTAATCCTTCATCATGGCTATGCTACTGCCTTGTTCTCATGCAGATTCTTATTCCTGACAACTGGACTCTATCAGCCCAGCCCTATCCATCCTATTCCTGATTTCTAATCCTATCTACGTACTCCAGTGTTTCCCGAAGACGTGCCAGCTTGGAAATTGCTCTAAGACAAAAGAAGAAAGACAATCTCCTTGCGAACTCTTTCTGCATTTCCCATTATTGGTTAGAGATAATTTTGCCTTTGTATGCAGTTCAAGTAGTGCATATACACTAGAAGGGTTTCCAGTCTAGCACTGCAATATTTAGAGACGTGCCTTCCTTTATGACAATGGGCAACGGAAATTCAACCCAGTGAGCTGCTCTGAGCCCTCAGTTTGGAGCTGAAAGGCAATAGCACCATTTTATTCCAAGCAATACCCAGGCCAGTCCAGTGAACTATGGCAAAAGCATCCTGCTGTTAAATACTTTCTGTTTTAGGAACTGCGTTTGTAGCCATAAGCATAAAATACAGAATCTTTGAACATGCATGGGCCAGTTTGAGATCTAATCCCGTGTCAGATTCTTCTTGATGAAGGAACACCAACTGAGGAATTGCCCCAGCAGGCAACTAAGCCCCACACAGCAGTTTGCTCGCTCGCTCGCTCACTCACTCACTCCCCGCCCCATTGACGTGTGGGAGAAAATCAGGACAACTGAGAGAAAACTCCTCGGTTCACATGAAAACAGTTTAATAGGTAAAGTAAAAGCCACACACACAAGCAAAGCAAAGCAAAACAAGGACCTCACTCACCACTTCCCATCAGCAGGCAGGTGTTCAGACATCTCCAGAGAAAGTAGTCATCACCACGCCAAACGTTTCCCCCCCCTTACTTCTTGTTTTCCCAGTCTGTCCGTAGACTGCCTTTTCCAGATCGGGAAGTCAGAATACTGGTTGGGTCCCTTGAAAGTTTCCCAGTACCATTATCCTGGAGTGACCCCGTTCCTTGCCCTGACCGTTCCCGACACTTAGAAAAAGCAAACGCAACACCTGCGTGAGGACCCGGATGCGCCACCATCCCTTTCGCCAGAGACCTGCAGCCGAACTCCTCGCCACCTCCGTCTCGAACAAACACGGCACCTTCCGCTGCACCGCACCCCCACACCTCACAACCCCCGTTGCCAGCCCTGCGCCGAGCACACACTGCGACTGCGCCTGCGCCGAGCACACACACACTGCGACTGCGCCTGCGCCGAGCACACACACACTGCGACTGCGCCTGCGCCGAGCACGCACACTGCGACTGCGCCTGCGCCGAGCACACACACACACTGCGACTGCGCCTGCGCCGCCCCCGCGGGGCGCCACGGGAAGTGGAGCCCGTTACTGCTTCCCCCGCCAAGCTCTGCGGCACGGCCGTGGGCGCGGTGGGTGAGCTGGGCTGCCCGTGTCCAGCAGCCCGCAGCCTCGGGTCGGTTCCGCCGCCCCGCCCCGCCCCGCCCGGCCCGGCTGCGGGCCTGGGGCAGCTCCGCTCTCCCCAGCGGCAGCTGCCGCCGGGCCAGGGCCGGCCCGGGAGCCACAGCTGTGCTCGGAGATGGGTCCCGGCGGCCGCGAGGCCGAGGCCGGGCTGAGGCCCCAAGCTGTGGGGACCTCTCCCTCAGGACAGCCGCCTGCTGTCCTTACCCAGGCTCTGCCTCGGCGTACAACCCTTGAGTCTCTGCCGCTTGACTGTGCCTGGACGCCAGGCACTCGCTCACCAAAGCTGCTTTGCCGCTGTGCTCTTTAGCTGCACGGAGGGGAGAACATACAACGAAAGGCTCGTCGGTCGACACAAGGACACGGACAGAGATCGCTCACCCTTTTCTCTCAGTTTATTGCCAATCGCAGCCGAGCAGGGGCATGAAAAAATAAAAGTCAAATTTCTCAACACCACCTCCTCACCAGTCCCTTCTCCCCTGTTGTCATTGGCCCTGTTGGACACATGGGAAGCTTCCAGCAGCTGCTCCCTGTAGCCCCCAGCTACCACATCTTTGCCACACAAACCCAGGGCAGAATCGGTTCTTCCTGACCAGCCCTGCTTCTGTGCCTCATGTAGGCCCAGCTGCGCAACTACAGAGCCTCTGTGGATAGCCCCTGGCACAGCTGACCTGGCCTTCCTAGGGCTGCTTCTGCCCACTGATGGCTCCTTACTCATGGCCCTCATCTGCTTTCCTGAATTCTCCTTCCCCTGTGTGCCCCAGTCAGTCCTGCCCTGGCACACTAATGTCGTACAGCACCGCTGTGCTCTGCTGACCTGTCCTGTGATTCTAGTCACCATGCACTGCTGGGCTGGGTTCTTGCGGAGTTTTTCTGATTTGTTTGGTTTTGTGTTGTTTTTCTTTGTGTTTTTCTGTTGCTCCTTCTCCCGTGGAACCGCTGGTCTCATGCACTTCTGATGCTGCTATGAGCCACTGATTCTCTTTCTTGCAGTTTACCTTGTATCCTCCCTCCCGTTTCTTTGGTTTCATCTCTATCCTTATGACTCTCAAAGTAATGGCATTTTTCTCCCTGGGGTCATATCTCCTTTTCTTTTCTGTGCTTCCGTTTGTGTTTTACTACCAAGTTCCCATGATTTGTTCCCACAGTGCACAGAAGCATTCATTTCCAAGTCACTGATGTCAAATATATAGGTTCTTCTTCCCCACAGATATTTTTTATTCAGAGGATGCCTAGCACCTGAATGGGATCAGAGCTGTTCTTTAGGGACACAAGTGTCCGCTGCTCTTTCTGCTGTAGCTGTGGCACTGGACATCATAGAAACAAGAAAAACCAATGAACCCCAGCAGTGTAAGCATTTAACACCTAGCACCCTAGTAGCGGGAAGCAGCAATCCACAGAAAGAGGTGCAGTAAGAAACGTGGGGCACAGGGACTTGGGTTAAAAAAACACTCAAAGAATAAAGTTCATCTTTGTCTTCTCAAAGATTTGTTTCCAAGACCACAGGTTCTACGAGAAGAAGTTGCTTATTTAAGCACCACAAGATGGGTTTGTTTCAGTATACGTGAAAGGAATATGGGGTGGGAGAGTAGGAGCCTCTTGGAGATGCTCTGATTTTCCATACTTTGATGAAACGAGATCAAGAAAGATGCTCAAGCGGGACAGGCCACATGCAACCATCATGCTGACGTCACCAACTGGAGGAGCCCTTGACAACCGCAAAACATTCTATGGAACCCAGACTACGGAACACTTGTTGAACATTCTCTACTGGCTAGCAGTTGCTGACGTCAGCTCAGCGAGCCTGCAGAAGGCACCATCTCCTTTGCACACTAGAGTGTGATGGAGGTGAAAATGGACACGAATGGGACAGAATGCTATTTCCAGTTTTATTCCCCCTATGCACAGGTACGTGACGAGAAGAGCTAAAGGTAATCTAAACTATATACAATTTCAACTGGGCGCAGGCAATCAGAGAACACAGAGGTTAGAAATCACACCTATAGACCACTCATCACTTTCTTACTGAGTCAACATAATACTAATTCTGAACAAATAGACCACGTTTATAATTTCTTTTTGGAGCAACTTCCTGAATTACTGTAAAATCTCTTGTTTAAAACAAAGCTCTTCAGAAAGGGATTGTCCTCAAAAAAATTACTTAAATTCCACTGAGTGAAAATCAGGGTGGCCATATGGACACTTGGTTATTGTCCACATTTCATCACTGGGGGATGATTAATTGTCACTAATGGCTGGGAAATTGGCTTTGGCTCCAGACCCCAGAGATTCTCCAGGTATAGGCCAGTTCTCCTGACTACAGTCCAGACGTGGCCTCTTTTCTTTCTAAATGTCTGGCACTGGGTGAAGCCGACCTTCAAATACTCTAATATTTTAAAGCGTGTCTTTGTTGCCTTTAAAAACTCACACACAAACTCACTGAGAAACAACAGGTCACCTGGCGTGTATAGCTCTCAGCCTGGATGTGGCTTGTATCCAGGATAGAAACATGAGTTTGCATTTGTCACTGTGACACTGTTATACATGGACTACTGCATCATCTTCCCCATTTATTAAAACCAAAATCTTTTAAAAGAGCAGAGTCACCTTTATGACAGCCACGGGGGTATGGGAAACCAGTGTGAATCTCCAGAAATTTGTTTTCTTCGGGTGCAGATTCTGTCAGTGTGGAAAACCTCTTGGATGCGGTACTGTGCGCCCACTATGAAAATGGAGATAGTTGCATCTGTTCAGTGGATTTAGAGATACGGAAATGCAGGTGGAAAGGAGCAAGTCCCTTCAAAACACATGTTTAAGTCTGAAAACAAAAGTGACTTTCTGCAGCCGAGCTGATGTTTCCAATGGGAACTGGAAAAAAAAAAAAAGATTTTTTTCCAGATTTTTAAGTCCAAGTGTGACAGGTCTGTGCAAGGATTACAAGTTCCCAAATGTCTAGGCTTTTGTTTCTTGTCAGGAATCTTTGTGGGGTTTGTTTTTTACTTCTCATTTTCCCACAGACCCATGTACTCGTAATAGTAAGAGAGTAATTGTGTGAGATTTGCCACATGTACGGCAGATTTTATTCAAGATCTCTTTAAATGTTCTGAAATATCAGAATACACTCCCACCAAGTCTTACTTGTATGTGCACAGTAGTTACATCATGTACTGATCCATTAAGTCCATTTTTACTAGTTCATTTACAGTATCTGAAAACTGTTCCCTCCTGCAGCAGAAGTTAAAGAACATTGCCTGCTTGTGGGAAAGACAACCCTCAGGCTGTGTGAGGATCAGCTGTGCCTTCCATCACAGCAAACCTCGTTATATCAATGGACTTTTTCTGCCACCTACTAACAGTGAGTAAAAATATTTTCTCAACAGATTTTTCATTAGAATTCAGAAAATATCCTTCTACTCTTGTTCTATTGTATATTAAGGGCAAGAAACGTACCACGCAAGGCCGTCAGGCATGATCTGCTATAGCGAGATACTGAAGTCGTGGAATGCTTTGGCATTGGAATGCCAATGCTTTGGCATTGGCATAGGCTTGTTGCAGGAATTTTGCCTATCATGTTACAAATTGTCATAGCTACCAGTGGTATGAAAGATGAAGTCATGAACGGTAGCTTAGATTGCTGAGATCCACAGAGCAGGAATGATTTTTCCTTGGGTATTTGGTAGATTATATCTCTCTAGTACCGATCCTGCTCTTTTCTGCAGATGCGCTATTGCCACAGGCTGACCAAGAAGTGATTCTGCCTCCAGCCCAGTGTCAAGGCTCACACACACGTCCAGGGAATATTGTAATACCAATTCACTCTCCACTGATTATAAACCTCAACGATGAAGAGGATGATGAAGAAGATGATGAAGAGGACGATGAAGAGAACTGTAAGCAAGTTTTTTCTATCCTTTACAAGCAAGTAGAAGGTATTTTGTAAAACATTATAGTGTACTTCTCACTCAACTGATTCATTAGAATGAGCATTATTTGCATAAAAGAGTGGTTGACAAGTTGCTAAAAGAGTTTCCAGCAAATCTCCAAATTATCAGACCTGACAGTCACCAGCTGCGAGTGAGGCATCATTTTCTAATTCCTGTGAAATGCCCAGCTGTATGTTTCAACAGTGGTATAACTCACATTCCTCTTTCTCATTAACTAGACTTTAAAGGGTGATCCCCAATTCAGATAATTTGTGAATTCAACTTATATAATCTCCTCAACTGATTTCCTCAACTCCATAGGCAGTCTCATTACAAAACATTATTCTGACGTCTAGCAAACACAATGCATACCAAGCTCTTTCCTAGCTTACCTGAATGTGTATGTTTATGTACTTAGGTCCTTATGTTTTAAAACTTATTAAATGCGGTTGAACCATTCAGTGAATCTCATTTAGAGATGGCAGATCCATAGGGAAGAGATGAACTGCACATTCCCGGTGAGTGAAAGGAGAGAACAACCTGCTCTAAGGCGCACACTGCAGAAGTTAAAGTACTAATAATTTTAAGTCAACACATGTTATCTTCTTACAAGGCTTGTAACTGCAATTCCCTTGCCCTTGGAAGTACCTAATGTGAAGGAATGATTTCCCTGTCCGGAAGCAGAGGCTGTAATTGGGATGGAAATAAAAAGGAAAACTAAAAGCCAAAAACCATAACCAAGTGAAATTCATTATGTATTTGACTGTTAAGAATTGTTGAAGGTCTTTGTCTAGCTATCCCCTGATCTTTTAAAAATATTTCCCACAGATGTTACTGACTGTGTGCCTAAGACTGCTGAGGATATCGAAGAGGAAAGAGCAATAAAGGAAATATGCTATAAATCTGGTAAGTACGAAAGGAGTTGTCACGCTTTTCTGAGCAGCCATGCTGCACACACAGTAATCTTTGGGGTATTTTTCCCTCTTGATAATGTTCAGGAGAGTTTTACGGGATTCAGCAGCCTGGCCAACGGCTGTCACCTAACCCTGTGTCACCGTCCCAGGAAACTGAGCTACGGCCCTCGGAAGCTACCCAGTGGGACTTGCAGAAAGCCAAGTACTTTTCATCGCCTCGGACAATGGGTACCACTTTTGGAATTACTCTTACAAGGAGAAACTAGGACACAGTTTGCCCCTCCTCTCCACTTTTTGAACTCAGGGACAGTCCTAAGGCGTTTGCAAATATCATAAAAATACTTAGTTTTTCTTCTTATTTGTGTGTATGGGTATCACACAGGTGGTGACTACCTGCATCAATTGTCACTGTAAAAGGTGAAAATGGGCTGCATATTAACCCCAGGAGTACTTTCCTCGGGTACACAACATCAGTTTTTTATGTAATTGTTCTTCAAAATCACAATTTATGTACTCTAACCATTCTAATGTTAAGAACTGGTTTCAATTTCTCTAGCAGGCTCTCTCTTGTAAACAGGGACAAGAGTCCCTATTTACACTCTGATAGGGCTATTTATTGCACCGTGAGGATGCCAAAGAACGGTAAAAAACAGCTTTCTCAGAGGCATTTTGAACTCTCTGCTGAACCTCTCTGGTGTCTAGAGGATGAGATGTAGTGGTATATTTCAAGAAAAGGACAGATATGTTTCCCCAAAGCTTTTTTTCAGCCAAGTTCTCTGAGGCTTTAGGTTCTGTGATAACAGGCACCTTGAAAATGCCATCAATTTAATGAGGCAGAATTCATACGTATCATACATGAAGAGTGAATCTAAAGGAATGATTACCCTGTCCGCAAGAAGAGGTTGTAATTGGGAAGGAAATAAAAAGGAAAACTAAGAGCCAAAAAACATAACCAAGTGTAATTCATTATGTATTTGACTGTTAAGAATTGTTGAAGGTCTTTGTCTATCTATCTCCTAATCTTTTAAAACTATTTCCCACAGGTGTTTCTCACTGGGTGGATAAGACTGCTGAGGATATCAAAGAGGAAAGAGCAATAAAGGAAATATGCTATAAATCTGGTAAGTACGAAAGGAGTTGTCACGCTTTTCTGAGCAGCCATGCTGCACACACAGTAAACTTAGGGGTATTTTTCCCTCTTGATAATGTTCAGGTGAGTTTTACGGGATTCAGCAGCCTGACCAACAGCAGTCACCTAACCCTGTGTCACGGTCTCAGGAAAATGAGCTACGGCTCTTTTGATTTTTCTTCACAATCTAGATTTATGTAGTGTAGTTTGAAGCATCCTAAGATTCTTTTCACTGTATAGTATTGACTGACCAATTTTGCAGTCCTAAATTATTCCACAGAATTTGGCAGATTCTTGGTTTTCTCCTTTCTACATTTAAAATGCATCTTGTTAGAATAGTTTCGATGATTTTTTTCCGGCACATGTTTATATATGTTTAGAGTACAGATGAGAGAAACAGTAAGAAATATCTGGGTTTAAGGCACATCCTTATTTTTCATAAGATACATTCTGAGGAAAGCATAGACAGATTTACCCAAAGCATTTCTTTAATTGAGTTCTCCGAGGCATTAAGTTCTGTGATGACAGGCAGCTTGAAAATACCATCAATTTGGTCAGGTAGGATTCATAACTACCATTCATGGGAAGTGGGAAGCTGAAGAACAAGCAGGTCACTTGGAGCTGGTTCTTTCCTTTGGAGCCAGTGCCTTCTTTACTCTGTGTACAACGGTATTTTCTTGGAGGGCATGAGTGTTATAGCTCAGGTAGTGGAGTTACTCCAGGCAGGATCCAAAGAACAGCCGAAAGAGAGAGAAGAATATAAAAAGGGAGTTGGAAGGCAACTGCACTGAACTCATGACAAGCTCCCAGAGGTGGGAGGAAGCGAATGGCAGTGCCCTTCCCAGTGCTTAAACACCAGCAGCTGAAACATTGTTTCTGGTGCTTTCACAGGTGAAAGCAATACAATTCCTGCAGAATTGAGCAACACAAGTAGAGGAGGAGGAGGGAGTACGGGAAGGAGAGTACCAAAAGCGAGTATTTCCAGAACTGGTTGCAGATCCTTTGAAAATGGAGGTAAGATACTTGAGCGTGGAGTCCTTACGGCTAAACATTACCTCATGAATGACATAACTGTCTATATTTGGATTGGGCTATCCACAAATAAAATGTTTTTTGATTTTAGTCTTGTCTTCCGGCATGAAGTCAACATTATTATTTGTTTTTTCCCTTTTAGGAAGCCACACTGCCAGTCCCAAAGTACAGCCCAGTTACCAAACAAATGGTCAAAGTAAAGATGGTGAAACTTCTTCTCTTCCACGTGACAGAGAAACCGGGAGAAAGCCTAACTTCTGTTCTTCAGAACCACGAAGATCAGCATATGTAGTCTACCGTTCTGTCACTGTCACCCAAGAACCAAAGTTCACTGGACCTAGAGGTGAGTTCCTGCTTCAAACGGAGGATTCTTAAAATGCCTCTAATACACCTGCCTGTATTGCGCTACAGTCGATTGTGTCCCTGCAGGTAGAATATGAAGATTTATGGTTAAAGATGGGAAAGAGTAAATTTGATCCAGTGTAACTTTCACAAGTAGGTTGCAGCAGTACACACACAAAGAAATGTAAAGATTTTATGATTGTTTTCATAATTTAGGCTTATGTTTCATCTTCAATAAAAATGTCCTTGGATTTTAATCAAGCTGCTTTTCTTGAATTACATGCAGTGTAAATTTCTGCAATTTATTATTGTTTCTTCACATTATTTCTGTTGGAGAGAGCAGTGAGGACATTCTTCCTGCCATTCGTGCAGGATGATATTTTCCATCAACTTCTCTCCGTCTTGCAAATATGCCACTATCCTCCTGATAGAACATACTGTGTCATAAATTTGACAGGATCTGACAGGTGGGATTCCGAGCCCTGTGTCTTCCTGTTTGGATATCTAATTTGGATGTAATCATAATTGTACATCTTTTGCTTTAATTTTCTAATAGAGCTTCACATAATCAAGTACATAATTTGAAGTTTATGTGCCTTTCTCCCTGCCCTGTCCATGATAACTCTGGAAAACTGCTTGTTTCATCTGTCACTTCATAAAAATTAGTAATAAAGTATTTCAATAACCCTAAGTTAAAAAGTCATTTCCTCTAAGCAGTTTTGGTCACCTATCTTAAACCATGTTGAATCTCCATCTCGAGGTGCCTCCAGGTCTTTCCAATGAAGGGAACTTCTTTCATATGGAGAAGATCAATGAGGTTAAGGGGAATGAATTCCCATATCAGTACTCTGTCCCAGGGACTAATAGTTGTGGGGTTTTTCTTTTTGCTTTTAATGTTTGCTTTGATAAAATGTGGACAGATGGGTGCAGAAATTACAGAGAGTTCATTCTTAATGTGAAGACTACATCTTATCAAGCTTCCAGGTTAAAAAAGGATACAGTATGTCTAAAACAAGGTGATCAGCATTATTCTCATAACAACAACCGTTACCATTTTGGTTACTGGGTTGTTTTTTTTTCAGCAGTTCCCGAGCCATCTGTTCGAAAATGCTCCAAAGGAAAGAATGAACCTGGCGAGAATAGGGGATTTGTGACGCAAACAGGAAACTGTGGTAATACTGCAGTGTTGGGTGTAAACTGAATATTTCAGGTTTAGTATGGAAAAAATAATGTGAATTAATGCACTTAGTCTGGAACTAAGAGAAAACGAGGGTACTTAAACATAACATTGCCTTGCATCTAAGTGCATTCACAAGCAGGGATAAAACAGGAGGACTGATTTATGGATTAGTTTCCTCTAAAAGCAACTGATACCTTTTGGAAGATTTTGGGTACAGGAACACGCACTTAGTTAGAGTCCCTGACAACCATGGCAGAGGGTCCTGGGTTCAGCTGTAGCAGTCAGTTTTTCTTAGTATCTGGTGCAGTGCTGTGTTTTTTACTGTCAGCATGGGAACAACATTCATATCACTGATGTTTTTAGTGCTTGCTAAGTAGTGTTTGCTCTGACCAAGGACTTTCTGAGTCTCATGCTCTGCCAGGGAGGAAGGAAAGCTGGGAGGAAGCAGAGACAGGACACCTGACCCAAACTAGCCAAAGGAGTATTCAATACCACAGTACGTCGTGCCTAGTGTGTAAACTGGGGGGAGTTACCCAGAAGGCCCAGATTGTTGCTCGGGTCAGGCTGGGTATCAGTTGTCACATGGTGAGCAGTAGTAGTTTTGTGTTATACCTTAGTTACTGGACTGTTCTTACCTCAGCCCATGGGAGTTCCACTTTTTCGATTCTCCTCCTCATCCCTCCGGGAGCTGGGGGAGGAGAAGTGAGCTAGCGGCTGTGTGGTTCTGAGTTACCGGCTGGACTTAAACCACGCCTCGCTTGGGAGGTCCTCAGAGCCTCATGGACAGCCTGCAAGATTACAAAAACTCGTTGAAAAGAGAACTAGAGAGAGAGAGAGTCTGTACTTAATCCTAGCTTCTATTTTAGAGGTGCTACAGGACTCACCTGATGCATTCACGGGTACTTCAGATAACATAGTATTTGTAATAATGTAGTATCTGATTCGCCTAAGAAAGTCTTCCCAGAAAGTGCATCTCATATGAGGAAACCATGTCTATGCTCTTCCTACAGACAAATACACTTCAGGATCCTATAATGCACCAACTCCGAGGAAGAGAAATCGAGAAGAGAACCGAAAAGGAAAACGATGTGAAGACAGGAGGGGGATGAATAAAGTACTTGAATTCACAAGAAAAATCTGAATTGAAATAAGGAAATTCTCAAATGGAAAAACCAAAGATGATAATATTGCAAATTCAGATAATAAGATGCAGGAAGTACATGTGATTTGTCAAAACTGTTCAGAAACTTTGAAAGTGTGCCCTGAATTGTCACGTATAAAGTTAATAAATATATTCAAGAAGTTTAATCTGTTACAAAAGTTTGTTCCGTGAATTGATTTTTGCAAAGCTTTTTAATGCATCATTAGTCTTGTGAATAAAAGCAATTAGTTTTACTTAGCAATTGCAGAGGACTTAATGTTAATCGCAACAATACTGCATTCCAGAAAGTAGCTGTTTTGGTGAGAAACCCAGATTCTTAGATGGTTTGTTTAGTGGTTTGGCTGATGTTTTGGGGCTCAGTCAGAGTTTAATCTTGAGATTTTGCCATTTTAGCAGAGCAGCAGAACTGTGGACATCATTGTAGTACATGATGCCTTGCAGCAATATTTTATATTTGTATATATAAATATATAAATATTTTATATTTACATTTTAAAATGACGAGGAATGAAATTAATTTCTCTATGATGCCTGTGCAAACTCCACTCTTCTCACTGATTTATTAGCAGCACCTTGGCAAACACAGGGCCTACAGTCAGGATTGCTGAAGTGTAGCTTAGCAGCCTTTAGCAGGTACGCTTGTTGTCGTGGTTTAAACCCAGTCAGCCACACAGTCTCGCTCACGTCCCCCTTCCTCCCCCCACTCCCGGAGGCATGGGGAGCAGAATCGAAAGAATGTAACTCCCACGGGCTGAGATAAGAACAGTCCAGTAACTAAGGTATATATGAGCCACAAAGGTTCATATGTGCTCAAGCCATACTCATGAAATGCTGAGAGACTCCACTTGGGGGGAGCTGCCAGATCCAAGCACAGTGCTGTCAGATCCAAGCTCCTTGAGCACTGGAAATTTTGAGTTTTAAATTCTTGGCTGCCCCTAGAGTGGCTTTGCCCTGGAGTTTTGAACATAAATAGTCCCTTCTCTTTTGTCTAGGGGGCTCATGACACAGATGTGTCACAGAAAGTTGAGATCGCAGTCAGCCAGCTTGGAGAAAATGAGGCATGTTTCTAATGGGAGAAGAGTTCTTGACAGGCAGAAACCTTGACTGTGATTCCCTTGAAATAATTTTTTAAAATGATACATTCCCACCAAAACCTTTTGTTTTGACACATTCACAATTTCTACTGGAACGAAGCAGTTAGAAAATAACCAGCTCTCCCTAAGTTCCATTTAGTGAATGTTTTATTCATGGCACCCTAAATAGTACCTCTCAAAACTGAAATGTCCCAGTCATTTCATTCTCCACGTAATCAATGTTTTCCCAAGCCTCTCTTCATTTTGGTTGCCTGTCTCTAAGCTTTTTGCCACATCCTTTTTTGAAGAAGTAATCAGCACAGAACAGTGATTCAGAGGAATCTCTCTCGTTGATTTATATGATGCTGTTCACTTCCAGGATCATTTTCAACATCGCTCTGTCTGCATCCTAACATTCTGTTTGCTCTTTTGATTGATGCCATGTATTGAGCAAAGACTGTTACTGAGTTGTTCACAGAAGTATTCAAGTCCTTTTTTCCCCTCTGTGGTTGCAGGTAATTTAGAGCCCTGTAAGGTAATGTAAGGTGCATTAGTAGGTCAGATTATTCTTCCCAGTGTCTGTCACTCTCTTTTACTTCTGAGCCCTGTAAAACAGGCAGGAAGTGGTTCTGCAATCAGGCTTACCCTGAAGGATCACAGCTTGAAATTTGGCCTGGGACTCTGTGAGCACACTGCACCAGCAGCCATCTGGGAGAGGAGTGGAAGAAATGTCTTCCCCACAGAGAACTGTCCTCCTCATCACCAAGTGTGCACCCCCCTTCCTCTCACACACTCGAGTTGCAAGTTACTAGAGGAGCACATACTAAGAGGAAGGCCCCATTTCCGTAGTTTTCTCAAAGAACTGTGCTTCAGAAGCCTAGAGTTTACCGCAGACTGCATGTTGTATGAAGAAATATTTCCTACTGGGTTCAGCAGTAGCAGTCATTTTTTGTGAGGCTCATGCTCTGCCAGGGAGGAGGGGAAGCCGGGAGGAAGCAGAGACAGGACACCTGACCCAAACTGACCAAAGAGGTATTCCATACCACAGCACGTCATGCCCAGGATGTAACTGGGAGTTACCCAGAAGGGCTGGGACGGCGGGGTTGGAGGAGGTATCGGTCAGTGCTTGGTCGGGCTGGGGTGGGGGGGGCAAGTTATCAGTCGGCTGTGCTGAGGTGTTGTGTTCTCTTCCCTTGTTATTTTCTCTTATCATTGTTGTCGTTGGTGGTAGCGGTGATTTGTGTTGTGCATTAGTTACTAAACTGTTCTTATCTCAACCTGTGGGAGTTGCGTTCTTTTCGATTCTCCTCTCTGTTCCACCGGGAGCAGGGGGAGGGAAAGAAGGGGGGGAGCGAGTGAACGAGTTGCCTGACTGGGCTTAAACCACCGACACTCGTATTACTTTAAAAACCATTTGATACATAACTGGTCAGCGTTATGGTTTAGGATGAGAACTGGCAAGACGAGTTTAGCAGCAACTAAAACCATCGGTGTTATCAGCGCTGTTCCCAGGCTGAAAGTCAAAAACACAGCACTGCACCAGCTACTAAGAAAGAGAAAAATGACTGCTACTGCTGAGCCAAGGACACTTGTTAACGAAGTGTAAGAAGTGGCGGCATCCTGCTCAGCCTCTCTGCTGTGCTGGGAGGGAGCGCACAAGCATTGCTTATTTTGCATAGGTTCTTTTGTAGCTTAATGGAATTTAACTGCAGAAGTGTGACAGTGATTGGGTAAATGGCACCTTCCTTGTAAGGTGACACTTCCCTTACCTTTAGGTAAGACAGTGCTTTTCTGCTCCCCTGTTTCTCCTTTCTCACCTGCTCCCAGGATTTTCACTTACAAATGCAGAACAGTTGCAATACTCCCCGGGGCATCAGAGAGGACAGTTGGTTTGGTCCACATCTTAAGAGGAGAGTTTTCTTTGCAGCGTGAGCTGTGAATTAGACAAAGGTAAACTCTAGGTAGGGTAAAAGGCTGCGGCAGTTTACAGTCACTGTCCAAGGCATGATTTGGGGTGTGGAGGTACCCTACAGTCTTGTTTAGGCTAATGGGAAAGAAGTGAGGTCTCAGTGTAACTGCACAAAAACTGTGGGGAGTGAGAAGTGATAAAGATTTAACCTAATTTCTGGAATAAAAAACTGAGGTAGCTATGATAATCAAGATAACTAAAGGGCCAGGTGTGGGACGGGTTGAGACAAAGCATGAACCACAGAAGTTATTTAGGAAATGTTGGAGGCAAAATAGCTGGGGAAGACTCATTGTGGGGGAAGAAATTCACTGGATAACTCAAATGATACACTACCTGACCCTTTGACAACTTCTGCTTCATACAGTCCCCAAGCATGAATAGACACTTGGGCTCCCAGGTAGGTAGAGTGAAAATGCCTCTTGGAAAGTTCTCATGAGCAGCTGGATGGGATGCTGGTCAGACACTACATATAATAAAAGCAGCAGAGCTTTTGAACCTGTTACAGAAGCTGGACGTACCTCCTCTTTCTTAGTACTCTGAATTGCCTTTTGTATTTAGCTTTCCGTCTGTAAGGACTGGGGGCATCCTTCTCTCTGCATACTTATTGTAGGGTAGATTGCAGGTACACATCAGTGACCTCTGATTATCAACCCAAATTCCTGTCTACCTAGTGTCACCTGTTTGCACCCAGGGGTTTATTAACATGTTTAGATTATGTTCTAACCGCTCTGGTTATAATACTGGACATATTAATATTGAATATAATATTGTTATGATATTGTCATAATTATCTTGACTAATGTTTGAGACTTGCTACTCTAACAGAGTTTATGAAACTTAAGTTTGATCAAATAGGGAGGAAAAACATTGAAAACGGGAAGAGGGAAAAGTCTAACATAAAACCAAGAAGAAAATAATTGAAAATATGTGCACGACTGAGGTGTACAAGACAAGTACTAACAAGTGAGGGAGTTGAAGGAGAACAAGTCAAGAGGATGAGGAAAAATCACTTTGTGAATTTGATGTGAATAGGTGTTATTTTGCGGCCTTTCAGTTTGGACGGGATGCTTACAACTACAGCTTATAGCCTGCAAGTGGCTTTTATATGTTAGAAAGTTTAAAGTCAGCAAAGCAAAACAAACAAACCAACCAAACAGATGAACAACCTGAGGTTTTCAAAGAGCTTTTCCTGGAAATGCGTCTTGAGATTGAGGACTTCTGTGGGTTCTTTGATACGTAATATCAACTCAGTACTTACTGTAACTTGGGAACAGGAAGCAGAATTAAGCAAAGGAGGTTGGTTTGATTCAGTTTGCTTTTTCCCCTTGAAGCTGGCCACCTACTTTATAACAGCATTTATGGGAATTTGATATTTGTTACGCTCTTGTTCTTCTTTTGTTCTACAAGTTTCTTGGCGGTCAAAACATTATTTTGCACAAGATGGAAGTAAAAATAGAAAAAATATGATGCTGATGTAGCCATTTCTTTTTGGAGCTGGTTTCTTTCTGAAAGAAGATTAAAAACTAGAACAAATCATAGAATGTAGCTATAAAATAAAACAGAAGGTATTGTGGATTTATACTTCTGGATCTTCAAATTAAAATAAATACCGCCATTATAATTGTTTCATTTGAGCTGCTAAGTGGTGATCGAAGTCTTACTCTTTCTTTCTGTCCTCTGCCCTTGATACTCTGTACTGAAGTAGAGAAAACAGTGCTGTTGTACCTTATCCAACTTTTTATGAATGTCTGCTGTCACCATTGTATCGATGCTTAATAAATAAGAACTCATTTTCATTTTGCCAAAAGAAAACAGTTCAGCAACAATCAAACATTTATTTCGTGGCCAGCCTTCTCTGGCCTTGCCTGATCTTCTCCTCTGAGATGCTGCTATATCTTTGATAAGGTTAAACTCTTAGGTCTTGCAAGATTCTGCCTTTTGAGATCTCAAAGGCAATCATTGTAATTATATTACTGTCTGTCTGGCTTTCACTCTAGAAATAAATCACTCATGAGATGAATGCTGTTATATAAGCTCAACTTCAGAGTTAAGTTTAAGAGAATTAAGACTTCAATTTTCGTTGCATGATATCCACTTCAGCCAAAAGAATGTGCTGGAAATGGAACCATTAGCTTCCAAGTAGGAAGCTTGTATTTAAACTGTCACAAAATACAGAGCGTGAGAAAATAGACATGTAAATCTGACAGAATTAAGAAAGAAAAACCCTAGTTAGTGAACAGTTAATTAACACAATACAACCTCTTTGGTGAAATGTGGACAGATACAGCACAGGATTAATTCACGTTATACCAGGTAGGCACAGCCCATATATTCCTGTAAACCCGAAAATAACTCTACATCAGAGTGATCTTTTTTTTTCACAAAGAAATAGAAGCTCTGTGTGGGTTCTACCAGGAACTCCACTGTCAAATGCTTTTAAATGCAGCAGACCTCTTGGTTTGCTCTTTTCTCCTTCACTGGTGTCGCTGATGTTATAAGGTGGGCCACAGACTGTGGCTCTCCTGAAAAATAAAAGTCAGATCCATTCTATACTACTGCTATAGTTAAGACCAGGATTGATTTTTTTTTCTATCCAACTGCTTTAGTTTAGTTTAGTTTAGTCTACTAGTCTATTATTGCTGCTGCTTCTCCCTCCTAATAAATAACCAGAATAAATCTATGCCAGTTATCACAGCTAATTGCATTTGCTTCTTAACTAAACAGGGTGGACTACAGCATAAGATCTAAATTATAAATGTCTATTTATTAACACCTTGCAATTTTTGCATGAAGGAACGTAGATAAATTCCAAATACTAGGTGCAAATTCAACTTACTAAGGTATAATGGAATGTGAGAGAGAAATGCTTTTGCCTTCTTTTGCAAGCGAAGAAATAATATATAATTGCATACCTTAGTAACAGGGTATGCTTTGACAATGAAGAGATTTTTGGCAACTGAATAAAGTGACAGTGACAAATAGACTCAACTGCTCAGGCTAAAATAAATGTCTGGACTTCCATACGTCT